CGTTAGGCTTGCACCTGCGCTACCGGTTCCGCCCCTCAGCTCAAGCCGTCCTCGATGTAGGTCATCACCCCGGGATCCTGGCGTACCCCCTCCCTCTGACTCCGGCGCATCGTCGGCACCGGTCGAAGGCATCCCACCTCCGTGTTGCCGCCAAAGTGGGGCGATTCAGGGAGTAATGGTACCTGACCCCGTAGTCTGTGGTGAGCACCGGCTTCCAGTCCCTCACGATGACGGGGACCGAATGCTCCTCTTCTACGTCTTGCATACGGAGCTCCTGTGCGAAGCACCATGTGCAGACATACCTTGCCTCTGCTCGACTTCCGGCGCACTCTCTGGTGTGGTGTGCGATCCTGTCCTTCTTGTTGAAGAACAGCTCTTCGTCCGGAATATCCCACCTTTCGTTGTGCACCTCTTCCTCGATCTGGACCAGTTGCCGCTCTTGATCATTTGCTGGCGGTTGGTCCTCACTCCTCCAAGGCGGAGTGGGGTGTCTCCTCGCATAATCTCTCCTCCATGGTGCATTGACGATCGGCTTCCCTTTTCCTTTTCCAGAGCCGATTCCACCCTTTCCTTTCTCCAACGGCCTCCTCATTGCCTCTGGTGCTGCTTTTGATCTAGCACCCAATGCTTCCGACCCTCCGCCACCTCCGGTAGTAGTGGATCTTCTCCTTGTAGTTGATGCCGATGCTCTCGACGACGATGAAGCCTCTTCTTCCGACTCCTCTTCCTCGTCACCCGCCGGCATCTTGTTGTGTCCACGCATCGCCCTTATAGATGCATATTCCTCTCTGCTTCTCTTCTCGCATGCCTCTTTCACCATCGCCGCCACCTTGATTGCCAGAGCCGTGAAGAGGGCCACCAGGATGCCGAAGCCGACCAGGGCGTTGTAGTCTCCCTGATCTTCTTCTTCGACTTTCTCCTCTTTCGCCGCCACTGCCTGGACTTGCATGCAGCATGCCAAAATGGCCAACGCTGCCTTTCCTTTTTCCAGGTCCACCTCCAGGGCTCCTCCTTCTTCTGGCTTTGGTGCTCCAATCTCCACCAAACCTGCCATCCTGCGCAGATCACGTAGGCGAGTTCCCGGCAGACACTTCGTGCCCATGTCGGCGACCAGATTGGCGCCCATCCGATGCACTATCCGCCAGTCCCCCATCTGCACTCTCCATCTCACGTAGAACGCTCTCAGACGAAGATGACGCGTCCGCCACGATCCAGCATCTCCTGTGCACAGCGAGACCGCCGCTTGGTTGTCCCCGATCAACGTCCGCAAATAGTCCATCTCCGTCTTGATCTCCTGGATCAACGCGTCTACCGAGTCCCCAAGAACCATTCCCTCTATCATCTCCATCAGCTCGGACTCGGCTGTCGATAGCGTAGGGAAGCTCTGCCTCGAAGATCTCCACGCCAGCATTGATCCCTGCCATTTGACCATTACACAGCCATGGCTAATCTCGCCGCCAGGCGCGAAGCTCGCATCCGTAATCACTTCCAAGCCCGCTCCTCTACTCTTTCTTCCATCTGTGTCCTCCCCCATGTCCTTGTCCAGCAGGATGCCCTCCGTCTTGGTCGCGTTGAGGTACCGCAGTGTTTGGGTCGCGGTTCTCTGCACCCATCGTGGAGCCTTGGACACGAAGCTCGACATTCTCGACACCACGTAGGCCACTCCGGGTGACCAGCCAAATCAACTCGCCCACCAGTCGCTGACCCGTCTGAATCTCCTCCGCCGTGATCCCGATCTCTGCCTCTGGCTCGCTGCACTCCTTGCTCATGGGGATCACCGACTTGCCAGGGACATTGTTCCGATCGATGATCTCCTTGATGTAGTCCATCTGGTCCAAGGTTCCCCTGCTCCGTCACAGAGATGTTCACCCCGCAGAACCTTACCGGCTCCTTGCCGAACCAGCTCTCTTCTGATGATTCCCACGTGCCCTTGATCTTCTCCATGAGGGCTTGAGGCACTCCTTCCACGCCTAACGGCATGAAGTCGTCCACGTAGACTAGCAGTAGGCCGACCAGCTCCTCCGGATTCAAGTCGTCCTCTACCTTCTTCACCAGCCACAGATTCGGTTCGCTCCTCATCTGCTCCAACTTCAGCCAACGCTTGCCATAGCTGATTCTCCACCTCCTCATCTCGTCGTCCCGGTAGTCCGACCAGCACCTCGGACTCTGCCGTAGGCCGTACATTGCCTTGTTGACGATCCACAGCTCCCCTTTGGGTATCACCCCCATCCGGACCAGTACTGCCGGCGGTCGCATGGCCACCGTCAGCTCTCCTTCCTGGTCAACTGCCTGCAGCGGGGCATTCAGGAAGGCTCCTTTCACGTCCACAGTGCCTCCTTGCCACCCGCGAACCGCCGCCTCCTTCAACGCCAACCGCAAAGCCACCACGTCCGTGCCCCCCGCGAAGAGCGGCATGGCCTCGTGAGACTCCCCGTAGTTGCCGCACACCACCAGTCGGCACTTACGCTTCCTTCCTGGTTTGATTGTGAACACCCCCTTC